CAACTAAGGCCATCTTCATAGCCTGAGCCTAATCTTATCTACTGGAAAGATAACCAAGGGTTATAGTTTAGGTTTATAAGCCTTTATATAGCATTTCAAAATCCAGGAGGGTTTTGTTTTTATCGCTTAACTCCTCCATCTGCAGGTAGAAGCTATTGTTTTCAGCTAGTCTATGTATTGCTTTGCAGATTACGACATCAGCTACTTGAAGGATGCCCTTTTCTTTCAGTTGGGTATCCATTTTGTCTATTTCTGGGGCATGATGCCCTGGAAGATCACTCAGTGACTGTATAACTCTGTCATATTCGAACTTGTGGATAAAGGCGCTCCTTCAAGGTGACTTCCCTTGGCCAGAGATGGAGCAGTGTGGGAGGATGTACTGATCTACATGGATTTACGCAGTTACAGAGTTTTTACTGATCCCAAGCTACAGTTCAGAGTTAGACTTCTTCAGCAGAATACGTGAAAGAGGAGAGCAAGCCAAAAATGCACATAAGAGTCAGCACCAGAGACCAGTAAATAACATTTTTGCACCTATACATCTAGCTTCTGAGCTCCTGCAACAAATTTCTCTGTCAGTAAGGGTTTTAAGTCTACTTTATGGAGACTGATTCTAAGACCAAAATTATTTATACTCAAGGGAGTAAAGCTCTGTAAGGCTTAGCTAAAAATCAGAGCAGATTGTCAGGCAGTTCAGGAGCTGCATAAGAACACTCCATATAACAACATACACTCCGCACAGGTACTTTGTCAGATGTATGCATAGGCGATAACATAATTTGAAATAACTGGAAGAGGAGTTGAGAATGGTTGAAAGTTTGTCTTGGGGAAGACACACCTAGCAACGTTCTTGTTTAGGTAGCATTCCTCTGTAGATGAGGACCTTCTTAAAGCTTAGCAACACTTTTAAAAGTGCATATTTGAACCGGTAATATCATAGCAGCAAGCCACTTGAGGAAAACTTTTTGTTTCTGTATTAAAACACAGATTCACCTGATTGGTTAATTCCAAATTTGTACTGAGGAATAATTAAGCCACGGCAATTCAAGACTCTTCACAATGATGTGTCTTTTGCTAACTTAAAAGTAATGAGGGACCAGATGTGTCTTTCCTAATTCACAGGGGTTTTTTGTTTTTCCATTTCGTGGAAGCACTGAGATGAGCATTAAAGAAGTAGGTAGAGTAGATAAAGAATATTTCTAGCTCTCATCTTTGTGCTTTTCATGGATGCAAATCCTGTCTATCACAAACAACACAGGACTTTTTGACTTTGGGTATGTGTAAGTCAGTATAAATAAAACCAAAGTTGTACCTATCCATCTGAATATATAGTTTGTTCCTGTATTGTATATGCCATGTTGTACTCATTTTGCATGTACACATACAGTAATTACATAGAGAATGCTGAAATGGCATTTGCTAAGAGAATTTATTTGTTAAGGAACAGATTTTCTAGAATTATCTAAGTAGCAAGAAATAGCAAAGGTCACCTACTGGGATTTTCCAAAATCTCTAAGCAAGAAATTGAAATCTGTGAGAATGAGGAGCAAGACTTTAAGAGGCTTCGTTGAACATTCCTAAACATGTCTGTCTGTCCTTGCACGTTTGGACCTTCAGCACTGCTGCTGAGTTCCCCACCGTATCATTCTTCTGTCTGACCTAAAAGACCAGCTGAAATACTTTCTTCTTGAATGACATGTTTGGTTGCTCCATGAAATGCAAATCCAGTGAGTATCTTGCATCTCAGGAGCAGATAGTGTCGTGTTGTGCATTTAATTTACACTGTGAGGACTGTTGCCTTCACAAGCAAAAAGACAAATGTCATTTGTTAAATCTGTGTCTTTGTATACAGTCAAACATAGTCGGTATTGCTTTCAGTTAAGTAAAATATGGTGAGTTTATACTGGCAGATGCATCATGATTGCACAAAGTGATAGAAATTGCTTTCTTCGGGTCAGTGTCTTCCATATTTTGAATAAAACTTTGCAAACACTGAGACTTTGAGGGTAGTTCCCAGCACCTCCCATTCATCTGTTTAGATCTTTAAGTTACCTTTGATCTTGAGGTATAAGACTATTCCTTCAGTTCACCGCAGATTCAAATGCTCAGCCTCCAAAAGGAGCTGCCTGCAGCAACCCACCGGGCTGGGTACAGAGCCTTATTGACAAGGGGCAATTCTGCCACCCTCGCCCCTGGCAGGTAGTACCTCCTTGACACAAACAGCCTTGTTAGCTGCCTTTTATTACTCGCAAATTAAAATGTTGCTTAGTGTGAGGCGGGATGGCAGAGTTGGGCCCTTGGTGAACAAAGAGTCCAGGATTATCGTTCCGAAAAGCCCCCGAGGCCTGTATCAAGAGTTATTAACCACTGATTCAGCCCATAGCATTACTTTGTAGGCTTAAGTGGGATTTCATTGGTATATTGGGTCTTGTGTCTGTGTAGGGGTGAATTTTGCCCTCCGTTATTTTATCTTATAAATAGCTGTTACAGTTTCTCTTTTACATTATTGTTTAAATTTCTGTCAAAGGTATGGTTTCTTAGTCCCCTGCTGCTTTTTTTTTCCTTTCTTCTAATAAAGAATAAATAAATTTGCAAATCCACACATGACTGAAACAAAAGGCAAATAAGCCCTGCACAGTTTGTGTCGGGTGCAGGATACCTCATTTTGATGATTTCAGTCATCATTCGTTTGAAAAGCAGAAGCTATGATTGTTAAGCCTCATTATTTTCAATGAAGCCTGACAGTTTCAAGGTTAAACAGAAGACAGCTACTTTCATCCCAGTGGTATTTCTCTTCAAACATGGGCAGCTCTTCGCTAACTTGTCTGCTCCGGTGTGCAGTGTCACTGCTCGGTCACAGCGTGGTGCACGCCTAAGCCCAGTTGCAGGGCAGTGTCTAAGCAGTGACCTCCAGCCTGTGTCTCCCCAAAGGAAACCTCAATTACTGAAGTCATTTTCCCCCCACTTGTATAAGCCCGTTTTAACTGAACGGTGATTTAAATAAGCCATCATCTCAGGTTTTACTGGTTTTCTGCTGTCTCCCAGAAAACAATTTGCAGCCCAAACCTTCTCCTTGTCCAGACAGTTTGAAATGTATCTCCTGTGCTGTACGTCTCTGAAGCACATTAGAGAGGGTGCTAGTGTGAGAGGGCAAGGGACCTCCAGTGACAGTTAAAGTGGCTGAGAAAGCTGCAATGCTTCTGAACATACGTGCTGTTAAAAGAGGACTGCTCTGCCATTGCTTTCTGAAATTGCACATGGACTAACACCTGATTTAACAGGGAAGCTTCTCAGTAAGAGAGGCTGAGGGAACTACGAGCTATCAGTAACTGAGTTAAGACTCTTAGAACCCAGAAATCATTAATTTATCCACTGTGAGAAAACTTTCAGGAGTAAGTAACCTGTGAAAGCCCTGACTTTGTACCTGCATGGACTGACTGCATTGAGTTATGATTGTCTGGGTGCTGCCTCCATAAAGGCGAAGAAGTGCGGCAGATGTACGTTACAAAAACAGGAAAAATGCAGTAGTTGGGTAAAAAGGAAAAGCGGTACATGGAAAACTGAAGGGAGAGGAGTAGCTAAGCAGTAGTTTTTACCTGTGCTTTCAGTCCTTTAGAGTTCCTGTAGAACAGCTAGAACCAGCTGAACTTTCCACATACATTTCCTGGTGTCTGATAATTACATTAGGGTGGTGAATTCTTAATCTCGTTTCAGGAATTAAGTCACCTCATGAGTACAATGAAAGGTGTAGCTTCATGGTGCTTGGCGGTTCCTGGAAAACAAGAGTGTTTCAATACGTACCATGTGCGTTAGTCATGACATGTGACAATAAATCCAAGATGTATTAACTAGTTTTCCTGCACTGAAGTTACTAATGCATCCATGAGATAAAATTAATTTTGCAGTTGTGATAAAGCTGTGTTATTTTTATTTCCTATCTACATTCCTCATGCTGTATAGTGTATTAAAAAAAACACCGTCTTTTCAGATAAGAAAAAATCATCAACTTTGCAACAGTGAATACAGCTATTTGAACCTTCAACTATTTTTATCCATTATGGAAATTGTATAACATGCTGGGCATGGCTCTAGAAGTGTTCTACTACGCACAGTGTGTGGTTTTACACAGTTAGTTTATTTGTGGGAAAGCTTTCATTGAGGGATTCCATAAAATAGAGATAAATTGAAGAAATTGCTTGAATGCATGATTACTGCAGTGCTGAAGGTAAATGTGTGCAAATGGAAAACAAATTTAGCCCTTTGCATTGGCCTACATACTTTAACAAAAGGAAAGAACAAATTAGGCCAGTGAGATGCTGGACATGCTTATAGCCTGTGCCTTAAAACTAAGAGGATTAGGAGGCTCTCTGTCCTACTTATTTAGACTGTTAATTTTTCTGTAGTTGTGTCGACATAATGATCGTATGGGCCACCTTCAAAATATCATCATCCACATCCTCAGAAACTTGGCTTGTTGAGTATTTTGAAAAAGTTTCTGATGTAAAACACATGGGGTTTTAGGCATAAATTTATAAACTGGACAATAAAAGTATCTGTTGGGTAACGGGCAGGGTATTTTTTAAGGGGAAACAACAGCTAAGTGTTACATTTAACAAGAGCCATGGACCACTCGTATTTTAAGAAGTGGGAGAATTTAATGTCCTGCTTACATTGAAGTGTACATGTGCCACGGGATTGCTGCACAGGGTTTGGTGTTAATGCCTTGCAAGGACCTCAGATACTGCATATCCTACAAAAGAAGAGCGAGTTGATATATATCACTGGCTGCAAATGGGTTGGGTTGTAGGTTAAAAAGTTTTCCGTGAGTTGTCTGTCTTTTCCCTTAATGTCTGTCTTTTACAGTAGTGCTTTGTTTCTGAGCGTGACCACCACCAGGACAGCTTGGTTCAATGCAAACACTGTCTCTTTCAGCCAGAACATTCCTAACGTTAGCTTCCTTTTTTTTTTCTCTCCTCTCCCTCTCCCCTGCCCCCTCTCAGGTTGGAAAGGCTGGTGGACGTCCTGAGGAAGAAGGTTGGAGCAGGGACCATTAGGACCGTGATCTGATTGAAAGCTCTAGTCTAAGGAAGCATTCACATCTGGTGACCAGGCTGCTTCATTCAGCACTGTGTAAACACTAAAGCCTTAACTTAGCAAACAGTTGTTAGAAGTGGGACACTCCAGCGACATTCCAAGCTGAGATAAAATCAAATCATAAATGTTTAACTACTTTGCTGCTGAGTTCTGCAATTTGTTGAAATGTTTCATTGCAAACATGTATTTGTTTTTAAGCAGATGCATTGTGGCACTGTGTACTGTGAAAAATGATGTAGATGCTTATTTTAACAGTCTGTCCTCTCGGTGTTACTAGACTACAGTCTGCTGCAAGGCACAGCTTCATCATGTTTCCAAATAGTGCAGGCTTCAGGTGCAAAATCCTGCAAAGCAATTTCAAAATTTAAATCCCTTGTTATTTGTGAGGCTGAAAACAGTCCACTATTTGTATGTTAAATGTATTAATTGATGCGGTAGTTTGCATTCAAGAAATATCTCTGGGTAGTATATTGGAGATTTTTTCCTCCTTACTCATAGCCCATTGAATTGCAGCTAGTGACTGTGGCTACATCTAAGGGAAGGATACACGTATGGTTTGATACAACAGCTGAATAGCTACTGCTAGTACATGGCGTTTTCAGCATATATTAAAAAGAAATGTACAGATAGGTGCCACTGGAGGTGCAGCTTCATAAATTGGAATGTGAAAGCCTTTTGACATTGTATGATATCTCAGACAGCAGGGAAGGTATCCTGTATTGGTTTTAGTCACTCCTCTGTCTTTTCTTATGAGGGAAAATGTCTCAAATATTCAGAAACCACCTTATAGAGTCAAAATTCATCTTCTCAGTGTAAGGTGGGTCACTCACACCTTTTCTACAGGACTTTTGGCCTGCTTCTTCTAGACCTATGGTTGCTCTGCAGTGCAGGAGTACCATCCAAGGTTGGGGTTGAGGCCAGACTGCCAACCCTCTGCTTTGTGTACTCCTGAAATGCCCCAGGACTGAACTCAAAGGCTGACGCATGGACTCATACAGGAATGGGAGAAATTGAGGGGTGAGGAGGAAAATTTGGGGTACACAGACATTATAGACCTTACAGATACAGGAGAGTCAGACCTAGAGTTATATTTGTGACCCCAGCATCTCCCTGTATTTGGTATGTTGTTGTCACGTGACCAAAGGTGAGCAGAAAGGTCAGGTCAGCGCTCGTATAAATCTGCTCAAAAAGGCAGCTGTAATCTCTAAGCAGCCCAAATTCAGCAATGAATCTCAGGAGCACAGTGGGCTTTAAGCTACTCCCAGGACCAGCCGGCTGAGGCAGGGTGGATGTAGCTCCTAAGGCTTCCACTTGCTCACTCTGCTTTGTGTTTAAGGTTGTTATGCTGTCTTCCCTCTTAATGTTTGCTTGTGCAGATGTGATGATAGGGCAGTCTAGCTGAAGAAAATGAAATTTTAATTTTGGGTAGGAAGAAACATTTCAATGCCTGTTTTTCCTTTCAAGCATTTCCATGTTAAACCTTCATTATCTGCAGACCTAAGCTCCTCCTAGTTTCAGTCGACCAAACCTAACCCCTCGCTTCCTGATGAGTAGCATTCCTCCAAGCCAAATTTACCCAAGTCACTTCTAGAAACTTCTGAAGTGCTCCTTTTTGACCTTTGGTCAATCCTAAGATAGCCGGTGAGTCTGGAGTTTCTCCCCCACACTTATTCAGTGGGAAGAAAGCTCAGTGCTTCCAGATCAGAGGACTCTCACCCCCCAGCTCCCAGCCCCTTCACCATCTCCTCTTTTTCCTGCTGTCCTCATTGAGCTTTAGTGCATTAAGTGAAAGACAAGATCTCCTGAGCTGTCAGTGCTGTTGAACCATTTCTGCTCTAAGGAAGCAGTGGAGAAGGAATAAAGATAAAAATATAAGGACTACCGTACTGTGCTAGACCACAGGTCCAACTAGCCCAAAGATTGCCTTTGGCAAGAACCAGTAGATGATGCCTGGGCAAGGGTCTAAAGTCAGGCCAGCACTAGTGACCTTTCTCCCAAATGGTCTCCCAGCAATGTTATTTTGTTATTTCAGGGCTTTCTGAGCCAGAGGTGGTGTCTTTGTGTTTAGCAGCATTTTTTCATGACCTGTTTTTGAAGCCATTTAAACTTTTAGTATCTACTCATCCCTGTCACAAGGACTTATGCAGTTAATGATGCATTGAGTGAAGAAATATTTCCTTTTCTTTGTTATGAACCAGCTCTGTTAATTTGCTATCACCTAGTTTTTGTATTAGAGAAGCGGTGAACAACTGTTCCCTGTTCATATTGCTTCCATGTCCCTTGTGATTTTACATATTTGGCATCCTTCCTGCACCATCTCTTTTCCAGAGAGAACCTCTAGCCTCTTGTAAAGAAGCTGTCTCATGTTTTTAATAGGCCTTGTCATGCTAATCTATTTCTTTTCCAGTTCTGCCGTGGTTTTACTGAGATACAGCTAGATTTGTGCCTGGTATTCAAGATACAGACAAATTGTGACTTTAACAGTTGTCATAATGATGTTGTCTGGTTTATTCTCTATGCTATTTGTAAACATTTTTAGCATTGGATTTGCTTTATGACAGATGATTTCATGGAATTAATATTTCTGTAATAATAACAACAGCTGTAGATCTCATTCCTCAGTTATAATATGCAGCACAGAGTCATTGTAGGATGTATGAAGACAGAACCGTCTGAATGCATAACTTTGAATATATGGGTACTGAATGTCATCTGTTGTTTTAGCGTGCATTCCCTGGTGACCGTGAGCTCCTATTCCATCTCTTCTCACCGCTCATCTTTACTACTCGCAGTAACACAGTACCATCAGCATCTTCATGCTGAATACGGTGATGTGAAATATCACCATCTCCAAACTAACCCCCTTTTTAAAGTGATTTCTTAGTTAAGTTGAACAACATGGGCTCTGGGGCAAAGATGCCTGTAGGACAATAAGGTGACTTTTCTTCACCGTGAAAATGATACATTTATTCTAACCCATTGTTTTAATCTAACTTTTAACTACTTATTTTTCCATTTAAAGATCTTAACTCCTTGACAGCTTTGATGAGGAAGCATGTTTGCCACTTTGGAAGTGCAAGTTTACTAAATCAGGGCCTGTTTTCCATGCACGAATGTGCCAGGTTCCTTCTTCCCCTTGGGAGTATTGAGAAGTCCTCACCTAGCCCCAAACCTTTCTGCCTCTGAGTGAATAATCTTGTGAGTGCAGGCTTCATACAGCAAGACTGTTTGACCTCCATCCTCTTGTGTCAGCTGGCTTTGTTTAGGAAAGTAGGATCAGCCAGGCAAAAGCAGTCCTTAAAGCAGGCTTAATGTCAGATACATCTGGTTGTGGGTAATACTTGATTCGGTAAAATTAGGTGATAATTTTGCTTCATAATTTTCGTTTTGACACATTGTGCCTAAGTGAAAAAATATTTCCTCACTCTGTTTTATGTCTTGTACCAAATAGCCTGAAATTCAGTGAGCTTTTTAGTTAGGGTTTTTTGTCATCCTGTAGATAGATGACTTTGGATCATAATTAAATTAGCTGTTGATGTTAAAAATTCAGCTAGAAATGTTTGTCTTCTTTGAACAGGACCTTGGGAAATTTACTGTGCTGAGAGGGGAAGATTTGGAAACGGCTGGCTTCTCGCTCTTCCTTGCTAACAACCTGGTGTGTGGTCCTTGGCAAATCCCTTAGTGACAGTCGTAAAAGGTATGCAGCCCCTGAAGAGGTGCCGAGGCTCCTCGGGGGAGTTTGCAAAAGCATCTGTGTGGCTAACGTCAAAACACTTTCACTTCTTCACCAGCCGAAGTGAACAGCAAAAGTCACACAGGTCCAGCAATGCAGGCCCAGCCTTTAGTGCCCTCGGGTGAGTTTCTGGCCCCATTGAACCCAGTCTGAGTTTTGCCTTGCAGCGTACCAAGGGCAGGAATTCTAGTCTGGCGTGCAGAAATAGGCAATAATGCTAACAAGGGCTAATTAGCTTTTATCATATAGTTTATTCATTGAGAACTGGTTGACGTCCACGCAGAGCTCTGAAGGTGAAAAGAACCCTGCCCTGCGTAGCAGGCAAATGCAATTGTCACTTCTGTCCTAATTTATGAGAGAAGGATGAGATTGCATCAGATTAGGTACCAGGAGTAGCAATTCATTTGCCTCCCGATGGAACAGCAGTTCATGATGAAAGGTGGCTCACCACAGGCAATGCTTATGGCGACGGCTGTAATTACTGGTCACATTAGCGTCCCTGCTGTCTTGAAGAGCACCGAGATACTCAGAAACATCCTTCCCCTGTGAGATTTTGTGTGTTTCTCTTGATGATCCTGCAGCACGTTATGCATTGGGAGCCATTTCTGGTATATGCCAGGGTAAAATATGTAAATAGCATCATGTTGGCTCGGGATAAGAGTGTTATTAATGCTTTTCAGCACTGTAATTATATTCATAGTAAGCCTTCCCTAAGCCCTCACTAATTAACAATATTGTGACAAATCAACTTTAACAGAAAAGAACCGTGGACCTTTAGTCATTTAGTACTGTTTTTCATTCAGCCCACAGCCCAAAATTGGTAGCACGGTTTTCTGTACTAGTATTGGGAAAACTGCTGATATTTGAAAAGTTCAAAGCCAGCTCCGTCTTGTTAGTGGGATCCTGTAGATGGAGTCGGCTTGATTCCTCTTTAAATATATTCACAAGAAAGTAAGATTCACTAGTTAATCAGTAATGTAGGGGAATATTAAAACTGCTTTTATAAATAAGCCGTCATATGGAAATAGTTTAGTAATGGCAATATGTTTGTCACAGGCACATTTATTTTTTTATTCCAAATCACAGAATGTTTTACAAGATACCTTAATTTTCAAATTAAATGGCTTTATAAATATTCTTATCAGGTGATCAAGATTTGTAACATCTTTAATCCACATACACAAATGAACTTGCTATCTAAATGTCAGGATTTCTCTGTCCCTTTCTTTTCTTCATTTAGAAGAATTCCAGATGAAGGCTCTTGGGTTTGGGTTTTTTTTATTTTTTAATTTGTACCCCAGAAGATTTTCGTCCCATGGAAGAATAAACCGTGAGGCACATGAAATCACTG